TTATTGAACAGGCACTTACCTCTCCACTAGGAGATTGTGTAGATTTTAGACTAATGATAAAGCAGAGTCATTAATAGGTAAAACAGTCTTTACTTGAAAATATTCATAGAAAAATTCGAAGTATTTATGCAGTTATCATTAGTCTTTAAGTGTTTCATGTGTGCTGTGATAGGAATATTCTTTCGAACGACTATCATAGAGAAATTATGTGTTGAAGATTCTATCATTATATTAATTAAATACTAATGAATCATTTCCGAGAGTTTTTCAATACTGATTCTTCTTCATTTTAGGAACAACGACAAATATTGCTAATACCACTGATACTACAGCTGACCCTGGTAAATAACATGCTACATAGTTAAATATAACTTCGTACAGAGACTAATTGAAAATATTTTTGAATATGTGAGAACTGTTCAACGCCCTATATATGACACTGAAATAGGCTGATCATTGGAATTTCTTGTGGTGTTAAAAAGTGGAAATCATAAAAAACTTTAAAGTGTATTTAAAGGAATACCATTGATAAGTCAAATAAAACTATAAGCATTTCTATATTGATAGAAGTAGGAATTTGAAATTTTTTTTGAAACTGTTTTCATTTAGAGAAGTTCAACAGAGTCAGTTATATATATATAGGTGTACGCACGAAAGAGCACGGTAAATGAATAACCAGCAGATAGGACAGGATAAAATCATAATACGACACATTTTTGTAGTGAAGTCCACGACACTATAACAAACGACACATAAACGCTACATATTTTATTTTAGTGTGTAGCTATGTTTTTCTTCGAAGATATACATCAATTCTACAGCATAATCCATGTAGTTTCTTGTAAGAAAGAGGAGCTCACGTGAATAAGCCATTTCTTGGAATGATTTTTCAACTTCCAATTCTTGTGGGAGTTCCACGAGACTGGCTATACGAGGCAAATAAATGATCAATGAGATGCTAAACGAGATGATGATTTGGCTGTCTCACAAGTCTTTGCTGTCATCTCAAGATTTCTAAAAACAAAGACAGGAGATGCGATGATTCAAATCCATCTTTCTAGATTAGATTTGCTTTTTATATTTGATTCACATATGTCTACTTGAAAAAGTTCTTTTGTTGTACACAGAATATTATAGCGCTTTCGAGATGCAGTACTTTTACTTGTCGTTTGTATAGGCAAATGAATTGGTGATTTGCAATAAGATTCGATTTTGAGCCAGTGTGATCTCACTTTTCTTCACGACTTTTCAAACAAAATATTTATTTGAGCAGCAGACTCATTCAATCAATATTGTTATTTTTCAGAGTGTTTTTCGGCCGATCAACATGTAACTTTGGCGAACGGTCAGGTGATATCGATACAGAATTTGGCAGCAGGGGATCATGTTTTAACTATGTCCGATGATGGCAAGCGCATGGTCGTATCCGAAGTGGCATTCATTGCTCATGCTGAAATGAACATAACTTGTAAGTTACTCGAACTTTTAGTGACTACATAACTTTTCAAAATTCGATGTAGAATTTCGTTACCACAAGAATAAAACGACGTGCAGCTTGAGTTAGTTAGACGATAAACGGTTGTATACAGTATGATACTACCGTTAATAGTCTTGCTTCGTCATCAGTATATACAATTTATTGTGATCGTGCATAGCCGTGTAGACTGTCTGTCATACCGCATTTCGAGATGGATTTTGCTTGACGGTGGTTGTAATTCTTCTCTTGAGATAAAAATTTAGTCAGATATACTTAGGATGAACTTGCAATTGCGTTAAAGTAGGGTTCACATCAGTATTGGACGATACAGACAGTTATATCCCACCGTTCATTCTTGATAACGATTTACTTTCTTCTTTACAATATGAGAAAAGTATTTTTTGAGTTCTTCATCTGTTAGAAATTTTTCTGCTCTTTATTCTACACAATGTGTTTACAGTGTGCATGGACATAGGACACCGAACATCTAGTCATAGTCACAGTATGATGTGCATAATCATTTACGGTCGACCTTGTTTGATGTGAATATCGGTTGATCGGGAAAATGACACAGTGATATTCTCATTTGACAATAGAAAGTTTTCAACTGTAACTGACTGGTCGCCTTGATATTCTGCTCATACATACGACTCAAAGAAATTAGTGGAAGCTTAAAAGAATTTCTACTTATGCTCTATCCATCTTGAACTATGATTATTTCAGTGGTGTGGTTGTGAATGTGCTGCCTTTATCTTCACTCACACTGACACACCCCACATACCAGGATTCAAGACCTTGCTTAGAAGATGTTCGACTAGGACATTATAAAATGTTTTCTTCTACAGAATAGACTTTGAATAAATAGAGTCACCTGAAAATTTTCGACTTATTTTGTTGAAACTGATCATTTGATAAATTTTATCTATGCATAATGAGCAATAAAGAATTTGTCTTTTGCAAATCGAACGGTTTCTTGTTTTTTTTATACAATTTCTAGCTCTGTTCTATACTGTGACAACAGTCAGCGGCCATCAAATAAGCCTTTCATCTGATCATTATATTCGCGTCGAAAATAATGGATATGTAATTGCTTCTCAATTAACATTAAACCACTCTCTTTTTGTTATACATTTAAATCATCCAGTTCGTATTCGTTCAATTAAAAAAGAATACAAAATGGGTCTTTTTAATCCTATTACCATGGCTGGTACAATTCTTGTTAATGACATATTTGCTTCGTGTTACAATCTTAACAATCTTCGTGGTACACACTATGAAAAACATCACTTATATGCACCATTTCGTTTATGGTACTACGTGGCAAAATACTATTTAGGTTTTGGTAGTGAAGTTTATGACATGCCGAGAGATGATATCCATTGGCTCACTGCTATCTACATTCACTATGGTCACTATGTCGTCTTTATTTATCGATCGTTGCGTGCTCTATTCCTTATGGGTTTGATCGAATTTTTTGTTCGCATTAGCGAAATTATTCATCCGATCTTTATTAAACATGCTTATTATTAAAAGACGCGGAACTCAAGGTACATTAATGTGACTTTTGACATTTTTATTACTGACATTAGCACAACATATGAACTAAATCCATTGTCACAAGAACTGTATATAAACCTATCCGAAACAATTTGATGTTTCTCAGCATTCTATTCAACAGAATTCTCATACTAGCCTAATAATAATATAATAAACTTCATACTAACTTATATTAGTAAATTATTATTAAGAAATAGGATACCAGATCGTATAAGAAAGAGGTGGAAAATTGCCTGTAAGAAACCAAAAAAATCAACTTAATTCAAGTTCTTAACCCTTTAAAGCCAAGCAGCTATTTTGGCTGTGGGTGTCGGAGTATAGGTGGGTAGCCAACCATACTATAAAAAAAACATATCCACATCCCACATGGTGTGGGTGTTATTTTTGCGGACAAACAACCCACACCCTAATTCATGGTAATATACCCATTTTTCAAGTCTAATCTTTCTTTAAGGTAGCAGACAACATGAAAATAAGGTGTATGAAAAACTGATGATTAGTTTTTGAGTCCATCAGCATTCTGAAATTTCGGATTTATGAAAATCCTGCCACCATTTCTTATAACACAATCGTGGAAAGATATGTGCTCGCATTTTTGTTTAGTATTTCTGTCGAATGCCTCATAGTAACAGTTGTTTAAGTAAATCGTTTGATAAATGCCGAAGCCTCCGAAGGCAGAGCGCACAGGAATCAAACCAAACTCTCTAGGAATCGGTTTTGTGTGGACATATATATACATTTTGCGTGCGATTTCTTGATGTTTTATAAGTTCAAGAACTCCCCAACAGTCGTAGTTGAGTGTATCAGATCTTACAGCCCAAATATCATAATAATATTTAGTTTGTGATGCTGTCATCACCGCCCAGTCTCTTGTATCATACTGAAAATTTGTTAAGAAGTTATCGACTGTTAGTATAGGATTAGCATTGATATCAATGTCCATTACGAGCAGAAATTTGGCTTGGTATATCCAACCGTTGTTTCGAATAGTTTGCAGTAGGTCATTACGACAGTATGCAATACGATGTGCACGATTTTTCGAGTAAGTTATGCTCAGATGACCATAAGTATGAACGTGAACTTTGCTGTCTTTTTGTTTCCAATCTTGGAAGCTCACGAGAGTTTTATCTTTTGAATCTGATTCGCCTATGAAAATCTGATAGTCTTTGAAGAGCTTCAAAATTGAATATAATTTGCTTTGAAAAACTGGTACTACCTCTGCTACATCTCGACCACAGGCCAAGACAACCACTGATTCGTTTGCTAAAGATAGGTTTGAGGCGCGACGAATAGAAACCCTAGATGCTTCATAATGTGCGTGCCAAAATGTGTCGGGTAATGATGAATTAGCTAGAGAATACAATGCATTGTAATCGAAGGTCAGCTTAACTAAGAATATGAGTTGAACAAAAAGAATAAGACTGTAGATGGATGCATATCGATGCTTCCTTTGAAGGAGTTTTAGCTTTGCAGCATTGCGCAAATAAAGGTACTTCAGTTGGCACATGTTTCTTTTTATTCACCAGTCGATGATTACATTTTCTTCTTGCTGCGGTTTAATAAAATTTGACGTTCTGTGCTTGCTTTACGCTCTAAAAATAACAGACCAAATGAATGCACACTGGCTTATACGAGTGTAACGAGATGATGCTTTCGCCATAGTGCTATAAGCTTTGTTTGACGATTGAGTCCCCTATAAACTTCGTTCCATCCTTAGAAGACGTGCATTAGTCTAACGGAAAATCTATCAAAACATAAGCTAGTTCGAATATGGGTGTGGGTGGGGCTGGAGATGGTGAGGGACATGGGTGTGAGATACGGGTGTGGGTTAGGGAATCCATCGGTCATTTGTTATGGTATTCCTCTGTCTGTGCTATGCGGTATGTCCCAGAAACTCGAGCACTTAGTTTTCCGGTAAGAGCTGAACCCTTGTCCTAACAAAGTGATTTTTGCAAATGCTTATCAGAAATTTCGGATATACCGAATGATCAAGCCGATAAGAGTACAGAAACTTACAGTAGAGACTATTGAATCCACACTATCGAAAACATTGAGTCCCAAGGCATCTGAATAATGGTAGAAACAAGGGAGAATCGGCGGATTCCCAGGATTCCGAATCCCATGGGAATCCGATAACCCCGAGGAAATGCGGGAATTCTATGGAAATTCCTGGAATTTCATGGGAATCCGGGAATCCAATGGGAATCCTGAGAATCAGGGAATCCGGAAATCCCATGGGAATCTTGGGAATCCTATGGAAATCCCAAGAATACTTGAATTAGATGTCTGAACAACACTGAAATTATAACTCATACTCAAGTATAACAAGTATCAATTCATTCACTTAATATTTTGAAACCCATTCCTTTAAAAGAACCATGTAGAGTTATGGAAGATAAGGGTGTGGATGTGAATGTTTCGTGGGGATGAAAAGAAGACGCAGATCCACACCCTCATCAATATCGTTAACTGAACATTCTAGACTATAGAAGCGGCTGCTTTCTAACGAAATAACGTGAGCCAAATCGTGACATCCAGTACGACTATTTATACAGTTCACATAGGTGAGAAATCTCAAACGCTTTGCATAATGGCGCTTATATTGATTCATAGAAGGGAGATCGGACTACAACTTTAAATTCCGCATAATATATGTAGATATAATTGAAATAAGGAGCTAGCTCCGTAGCCGAACTTGCAGTCTTTTCATTTTATCCAATATTAGTAAGTCGTACTTTCGCGGTCAAGACTATTCTTCCTACACTGATCAATAATGATCTACCCGTTAATATTAATACAAAAACCAAACATCAGTAAATAATCTATCGACTTTTTACTAAATGATCAGTAGTGTCATACTTGAAAGTTGAATTCAAGTACTCAACTATCAGTTCAAGCATTCAACTATTCAATTATTGAAGTATTGAAGTATTCAAGCATTCGATTATTCAAGTATTCAACTATCCAAAGATTCAACTATTCAAGTATTCAAGCATTCAACTATTCAACTATTCAAAGATTCACGTATTCAACCATTCAACTATTCAAGTATTCAACTATTCAAGTATTCAAGTCTTCAAGTATTCAAATATTCAGCTATTCAAGTTTTCAATTAGTCAGAGCCTGGAACGCTACAGGGTTCTCTAGAATGCTGCCGGTATTACATAGGACGTTTGAAGCTTCTTCTATAATGCTACAAGTAGCTCCTAGGATGCTACAAGTATTCCCTGTGATGCTACAAACATCCGCTGGGATGTTGCAAGCATCCAATAGGCATGAGTTGCCTAATTCGAGTTCGAATATAAATGAACACTTAGCGCATAACATCAATTCGAAAATAAATAGAAACTATAGAACACCCACATACAGACATACTGATGTAAGTTTAGGGAAATAGGAAAAGAATTCTTTTTATTTAGATATAATTTATAATTGATAGTTATATAGGATTAGTCATGCAAGTTTAGTAAAACAGAAAAAGAATTCTTTTTATATAAATATAATTTATAATTGATAGTTATAGAGGGTTAGTCATGTAAATTTAGGAAAATAGGAAAAGAATTATTTTTTTAGATATAATTTATAACTCATAGTTACATAGGGTTAGTCATGTAAGTTTAGGATAATAGGAAAATAAAGGTTTTCTAGTGCGAAGAACTTGAATCTGAGCTTCACTTTCCTCGAAATTTTATTGGTTAACCAGTAACTAATAGAAATGAAGCTTTTAGAGAAACGACTTTCTTGAGGTAATTCAAGGCGAAGAGTTCAAATCTGAGCTCCATTTTCTTCAAAATCCTATTGGTTGACTAGTAATCAATAGAAATCAAGTTTTTAAACAAACGACTTTCTTGGAGTAATTCAAGGTGAAGAGTTCAAATCTGAGCTCTATTTGCTTCATAATCCTATTGGTTGACCAGTAACCAATACAAATCGAGCTTTAGGAAAAACGGCTTGCTGCGATAATTTTAATGTGTAGAGACAGACTATGATGACTCATCTGTCTTGTCTTTTAGATAGTTCGATAAAAATCAATCAGTCGTCAATTATTTTTACTTCTTGAAGTACACATAACACTCGGATTGAAATCCAATGATTGCACATTTATTTAGATATAATTTATAAGTGATAATTATACAGGGGATAGTCATATAAGTTTAGGACAATAGGAAAAGAATTATTTTTATTGACACCCCTGGACAACAGTCTTTCCTTCCACTTGGATCTGAACCATTATAGGGGCTAGAGGTCTAAAAATTTGTGTGCATATACTCCACCATAAATGTAGGGCAGTGGCATTACTCGCACTCCAATTACTTGCATGGAAACGGAGTTACGATAGGCAGTATCTATTTTTTACTCTGAACTTCATAACCTGAAAAGGCTGCCCACTAAAGTTTGTCCTGTTTCTAATCAAATACACAATTAATTCTGAATATTTTTACATGAAACTAAGGCCCAGTCTATGATCTTTCTTCACCCAAAAGATAAGTTCATTAGCTCGAATATTGGTGTTTTCGGGTCCTGCACACTAGCACGATGATCATCAGTGTGCCATTTCACTCTAGCACAACAGTCGATTCTGAAACTTGCAGACAAAAGTGCCAAGCTATGGAGAAAGCTTCTCCGAAAGTTTCAGATCAATTCATTGAACTATCATTGAGTTATGGATCGTCAAAAGACAATAGATGCTTTTTTTGTACACCGATGGTTACAGTAAAATGACCATGGTTCTTGCATGTGTCGTCAAAGTTCCACGAAATTTGTATGACAGATAGCTGGATGATAGAACTACATAATGATGGGTCTGCCGACCCACAACGCTCTTCGTTTCTAGAGTTATGAAACTCAAAGCAAAAAATAGATATCGCCCATCGTAACTCCGTTTCTACTCAAGTAGTATGGCTGTGGGTGACGCCATTAAACCACATTCCTGATGGAGTATGTACACACAAATTTTCAGACCTTTAGCCCCT